AGAAGGCATATCCAACAATTGCAAATGTATTTCCTATGATTTGTAAATATGGACAATTGCCTCATATATTCAACCTGCTTGTCCATATATCGGAGGGAAAACACTTGTTCATGTTGAATATATTACGTGAAACATAAATACAATTTAATTTTTGAAATAATTTAAACAAAGCGGTTAATATTATAATATCCACATCTTGACAAAAAAATGTTCGTATTCTATTATTTATATTGCTTTAAGAGAAGTGCAATACAAGACCAAAAAAGTTTCATTTGTGATGAATATTAAAAAGAGAAAAATCAACAGTTTATATCAGTTTCAGTAGTCCCCGCCATTTTCCAGAACTGACGACACATGATTTGGTGGCAAAATTTATCCCAGATGTTCCAGAGATCCCACTGCATCCCTGCTAATTATATATGCAAATGACAACAAATTTTTAAAATTTGTCAAATACCCTTGCCCCCAGGACTGTACTGATTGTCAAATTCCCCACTCACGGGATATACTTTCCCATCAAATCCCAAATTATTTCATAATTTCCAGTCTTAAATCTGTCTGACCGTGTAGCTCAGTTGGTAGAGCGTCGATATAGTAATTTGAAGGTTACGGGTTCAAGACCCAGCCGCCGCAGACTTTATCTTTCTGCTTACGCTGGGTATGGAAATTATATAATACACACTCGAGAACATTTTCATCTTAACATATTACGGAGTGTACATGGGACATCAAAACCATGCCAGAGCGCTCAAACTGCAAGCAGTGAGCATGCGCAATATATATATATGTATGATCATATCTTTTTCTGCAATTCAATATTTGTAATAAAGAGCATACATTTTGCAATATTGAAGAATGAGTAAGATTTAGATTAATTGTACGTGGTGACTTTTAGGTTCTCTTAATGTTAGAATGAATGGTTGAAACTTTTCAACGAAGATACTGTATACTACCAATATAGGCCATCAGCCACTCGTGAGAATTATTACCTTTCATTGCACCGCCCATGCAGACAATATTTTGATTTCATTATATATGTTAGTTGATCCATTTCCATGGTAAAACACAAATTTGTCAGTAATATTCTCGAGAAAATTGTTTTTATCTCTGTGTGATGTCATTTACAGGTGACAAAACTAAAAAATTGTGAAATTCGAAAATTTGACAATACTAGCGGACAGATAGAGGATCACGATTGGACCGACCAGATTGGGCAGAATTTGGCGGTATAAACTGCTTGCGTTTTGTAATCATTTAGCGCTACTTTACTCTAGTTTTCTCATGTCTAAATCATTCATCGTGATTATATAAATGTGACCTAAGTTCTATATGAAAAGGCAGTAAACATGCTTATTTTATTTTGGGCAACAAGTCTTTGTTTTCATTGCATTTCGTAAAAACAACAACTGAAATAGAAAGCTGAAAGGTGAGTATAAAGTTGATTATTAACTTATGTGTATTACTTTGCTGTTTTGGTCATTTTGCTTTAGCAACTCTCATATGGGAATGGACCAAAACCCATGATACCATGCTGTTCAGAGACGTTTTGGCAGTTAATCCCTAGCAAGCCAAAAAGAAAACTATCCAGCGAGGTCAAGTTTGGCAAACTGTGTCTGGCAACCTGGTGCAACTGGAAGACTCTACATTCAATAAAAGATTGTCGAAGCATTCAGTTCAAGATTGTTGCACTCTCTTATGTGAAAACCACAAGAAGAAAATGAAATATGAGACGAAGGCGTCGGGGATATCGCCAAAAGTAACAGAATTTGATACTTTGATAGAGGAGATGTTGGAAAAAGAGGAGGCAAGCGAAGAGTTGAGGGCAACACAAGGTATACATATCTATAAATACCATGGCAAAATGTCATTGATTTATTTTAAAAACTTCGTAATTATAATGGTAAATTAAGCCCAGACCTCAGATATATAGATGTCGGTAACCTGGACATACTGAAGTTGATGGTGGGACATACTGAAGTTGAGCAAAGACATAAACCACTGTTATTTTTTTAAGTGAAGCACAGAAAAAGAAAGTTGAACAAGATCAGAGAAATGCTGTGGATATTCTGAGAAGAAGGCAATGGAAAGGTTTGAAGAGACAAAGAAAGGAGAAATTGAAGAGAAGAAGAGAAAGCGAAGGTCAGGATCTGATACATTGCAGTTTATAATGGAACAGTCAGAAAATGAAATGAACATGAGGGGGAGGGAACTGGCATTAGAAAAGGAGAAACAGACAAGGAAGGAGCAAAAGCACAATGACTTCAAAGAGATGGCATTGCAGATGGCTCAACAGCAAGTGGCCCAGTTCCAGATGATGTTCATGCAACAAAACAATTTAATGCTGTCAATTCTTGAGAAAAAGTCATCATAACATTTTAATTTTCATATTTCAATACTGAATAATATGAACCTCCCTTATAAAAGGTTTTATGGTTTAAGTGGTTTACGGTTTAAGTTTAACGTACATGTTAAAAAAATTACTTTAGGCAGCAGTTCCCATGGTCACAACATCAACTTACCTGTTGTTTGGTCATGTCTGTCATAGTAACTTACAGATTATCAGCTTATGTTAAAAAACCTCGCATATTTTATAATAATTTAATGTTGTGACCATGCTGTATTCTATATTTCACATTACATATTATGTCTACATGATACCACAGAATACTATACAGAAGTCCATCTCTATTGTTTTTTGCATAAGCACTATTCATTATGATTCATTACTCAGCAAGTACCGTAAATAGAAGCAGTTGACTGCTTCTGTTTACGGTACTTGCTGAGTGACGAATCATGACAAATGGAGCTTAAAGATAGGGTACAGTCGGTCTAATAATAATTACAGTAGTATAATGGGCTAGGGACCTTTGGAAATCCTGTTGGACTTTTATAGTAAGGCCCCTAGTTTTAGTATTCTAATGATTAAAGACTATGAAAGAAGAAATTCAAGCAGAAACTATTTACAAGAAATTGAAAGATGAAAAAATACTAAGAAATAAAATAGTGCATTACTATCATTAGTATTTCTAAGGCTAATGCTAAGGTTTTTATAATTGATTTACATTAATTAGATAATAAGTAAAGGGATTTTGCTTTTCTCTTAAAAGAAAAATGTTTTGGTATTTTTAATTTCGTCATCAAGAAAATTAAATAAAGAAATTCCTTTGTTAAATACAGTATATATCAGGGGCGGATCAATGCTCATCTGACAGGAGGGGTGCAGATTTTCCTGGGGTGTGTGTGGGGGGGTGTGTGCATTGGTGCGCTACCAAAAGGGATGACTATGGATTGTATATGTTTAGGCATATCGCCAAAACCTTGTTTTGTGACCCCTCCCATGTGATCAACTGATCAAGTATTTAAGTCTCTGAGCTGGATGAGACATAAAATGCTCAAATGCCCTGCTAGTACTTTAGTAACTTGCTAAATTAGTGAGCACAGTATATTTGCAAATTATTATTATTCATTATTTAATAATTATTGAATAGTAGTATAAAATTATAAAATATAGTTGTATAACTTTTCAGTAGCTTCCTTAGAATGTTTCAAAATCGTGAAAATCATATAGTAACAAACTAACAAAGTTTTTAACAAATAAATGAAATAATGAATAGTTTTCAATTTAGTAATAAGTACATTATACATTTTATATAGTTTGACTAGTTAGTTAATGACTTAGACCTTAGTCCACTTATTGTGCATGTTTCCCCATACTGTTACAACTTCGTCCAAATCCAGCAAATCAACAACATCTCTGTTTAACGAAATGTATAAAAGATCACTTAATCTTTCTGGATGAAGGTTGGATCGCAGCTTCTTGCAGATATGATTCATGCCGGAAAATACTTTTTCCCGTTTTTTCCACTGAAGCGGTTGATATCGAGATGGTGTTTTTAACTCATTAAAGTGGTCAAGTTTGGAAGCCTCTTTGGATTTATTGGTGGTAGACCAAGGTGCTAATCAACTTCAATCAACTCTTTTGATTTCTAGTTCGAGGATAGATCTGTTAATGTTGAGACAGCTGAAGGTATTCGGTAGCACATCTAGCTCACTTAAGTCCAAGTTGGTATCTGAACCTGCATTAAGAGCATTGATAGCTCTAAGGATGTCTATGTTCTTAGAGTCAAGCCTGACATTAAACTCATCGTTAATTGAGTTTCTTCTTCAGCTCTGCGTTGAGTTCTCCAATAAGTAACTGTTGTAGCTCTATAGTGACTAGTGTTGTGGATAGGCATTGTGTTGCAGTGAGCTAAGGGGTATTCAGTCTTTCTTGAAATTTCTTTCGACTCAATGAATATGTCCTAGTCTTTGATGTTGTTAATTGAATTCCGAGTTCGAGTCAGCTCGTATTGAACATCCATCCAATCAATTTTTGCGGCCTGAAGTTCTTTATTAACTCATTAAGCGGCAAGCTGTTACAATGTTTCTACCCGCCTAAGGCGCAAGCAATATGGCGAATTTGTGATTGAATTCAAGAGCTTTCATCAAAATGGCAATATCTCAGAAGCAGTTGCATAAAAAAACTGATCTTTTCAACCGAACATTAGTGATATATGATTGACAAAATTTAGTTTAAATGATTTTGCATACCTACATATATCATTAGTTTTTTCAATGAGAATTTTTATTTGTAAAGCAGTGACATTTTGTTTTTCATGTCACTCATCACCTAAAGGGGCAATATCTCCATAAATTTATATAAAAAAAAAAAAAAAAAATTCATTTACTAAATTAGTACATATCTATATTATAACCAATTTTCATCTTTTGGGATATGAATTAGAAAACGATCAAAAATTATAAAAAATACTCATTTGCTTTTTTTGGGCAAGATATTTACAACACGAAATTTAGAACAGTAACTAAGTGTTCAAATTCAACAAAATGTGCAAGCCAAAACACAGTGCTTGTTCATCTTTGGAGTTTTTAATTACCTCAAATATATTTAAAAGGGACATATGGTACTAGAATTTATTTATTTTCAATATAAACCAAGGATGGGAAGGTGAGAAAATAGGAATTTTCTGAGGTGTTTTTAACACAGACAATGACAGCCGACATTTTCAAAGGCAAATTGCGGTGACAAAACCAAAAGTTATTCACTTCTCTACTCAAAGCACTGAAAAACACCATAAAGAGAAAAACATTTTAACCATACATCAGGTAA